CAGCCCGGGGAGCAGGACGGCTCTGTGACTGTCATTTACGTCCGATTGCTGCTGGCCTATTGAAGCCTGAAGCTGACCTTCTTTTTGTTGTTGTGCTTCTTCGTCGTTAGGGTCATGTTCATCATGGTCGGTGTGATCGAAGTAGGCGCGTGGCAGGGAAAACCAAACGAACGCGAGAAGTCTGTGGTTCACATGCTGCAGGTCCCTGCAAGCGCAGCGAGTCAGAAATCCACCAACATTTTGTGACCAACGAGGGGATTGCAAAATTTTGTCGCAAGCCTTTTGTTCATCTCGCATGTCTGTGCTCATACCCCAAAGCACTTGCGGCGGACATGCGAAGACTCTGCCGTCAAAGCATGTCATGAACATGATAATGTTGCTGTGCTGTGCTACAAGGATGATTTCGGGTTTGTGCCCCTAACATTGTCGGGGTACAGACATAGATGTTTATGTGATTTTAGCATTTGTGCGTTACAACGCTGCTGATTCCGCTGTGTTTTTCACATTCGGAGTACGAGAACTACGTCAGGCGCCCGGCAAGGAACAAGTGTCATCAAGGTTTCCATCACATATCGCTGTCATTCTTACTCCTGCGCTATCATCTTTGGGTTTGTTTTTCCCCGCCGGGTGATCTCAGAGTAGCAGCATATGAAGAAGTAGGAGTAGCGCTAGCCGCGGCAGCAGCAACAGTCCCACGTCTATTTCTTTTGCTCCACTCCACCGCATACTAGTGATACTGCCGTTGCTGCTGCTATTCTTCCGGCGACGACTACGACGACGATTTCACGAACATGAGTACGACCACAACTAACTACGACGACTCCTGCTGCGACTCATACTGGTGCACGTATCAAACTAGTTGGTTTTCCGCGTGGGTATTCTTACTTCGGTGAGCCTCTATTGTTTCCGGCCTTCCTGCCAGCATCAGGATTGGTAAAGGAAGTGCAGGCTTTAGTCCAGGGGTTGCAGATTTGAGGTTTGGACTGGCAGTTCAGAGACGTTTGAATTGATGTTGGTATGCCTCAGAGACGGGTCCGGGTGTCCTGCACACTGTGCCGGTTACAGCGCAGATCCTGAACCTTACATCTTTATCCCTTGCCAAGGTCTGTAGGTCTGCAGTGATGTTGAGACATGGAAGTCTGGAGTTGGACACCAGCTTCAAAAAGATAGCTGAATCCTTGCAAAGCCGCCACTATTCAACCTTAGATGGACCTCAGCCTTGACGCTCAGCAGGTGGTCAGGAGTGCCTCGAGCTGTTGCTTAACGTCCGGGCAGAGATTGAAGCGAAGGACAATCGTCCAGTTGTGCAGTTTTTGGCCGGACCTAACGTACAGACTAAGCGTGTGAAGCAAGCTACCATTCCTGCATTTTGGGAAGAAATTAACACCTTGTTGCGCGAAAGGGCCTAGGTTACAGGCTTTGCTGAAGAGATCTCTTTTCCGGGACTTGCTCTGTTTGGGATTTGGGTGATTTGGGTTGAGGACTTCAGTGTGATAGCCTTTCTCAAATAGTATGATACTCAAACGAGGTTGTCTTGTTGCTGCCGTGATTGCCTGACAGAAGTCGCCTCAATAATTGCCAGCGTTCTGGTTGCCATAGCGAAGGCCACGGTCATGGTGACTGCTCGTCAATGACACGGCCCCCCCCCTGGTAGATTCAGCAAGCAGCCGCAATTCTGGCGCTGTGTAGCTTCTGCCTGCACCCAGCTTGCGCTTGCGGCCTCCACTTGCCTTTGTAGGATCGGTACGGCTGGACTCCGCTTCTTTACGGCTGCCGGAACGATAGTCTCACGCAGGTCAAGACGCTCCATGGCCGAGATGCACTCGTTTCACAGTAGGATGCTGAAGTAGGACGCTCATATCATGACGTGATATTCATACAAAGCTCACATTCCTGTGCGTTCCAGGCAGAGCAGAGGTGAACAAGAAAAGCTGCCAACGCACCTCATGTCCCAAGGCTTTTGGACTTGCGGGCCCAGATGAAGGCAGGCGTCCGAGCATGTTTTTTGAGTTACTTGTGGGCGTGTTGCAAGGGTGTGTGCCAGTGCCCGCCCTCAGGTTCAAGGCTAGCGCTGATACCAGAGCGCGCTTCAAGTCAGACAAGTTGTGGCCACATTCATAAAGGCATCATAGTGGTTGTAACTAACCTGGCCTGCGAAGGAATTGGGGATTGCTGTAGGTTGCGTCTGTAATACTGTGAAGCTCGCCCCATTGCCCACGCAAGGCTCTCAATTTGGAAAGCGCGCCGCTGCGCAACCTGTACAGCAGTGAAATCATGGCTTCAAAATGCACGGCCCAACCCCGCACAAAGGCAATGGAAGCGTTTGCATGAAGTTTCGTAGCGGCGCCCTCGAACGCGACGTGCGCCTTCTGTATGGCCTCGGCTCCAAACCCAATCTGAGAGCATAGAGCCGGAGAACACGGCTCATGTCAGCGCACATCAAACTGTAAGTGTTGTCTCAGAGACAGAGAATCAGAGAGGTCAGGAACCCATGTTCAGACGGCAAGGCCTTATTTAGGTATGTTGAATTCAGATGTCGAGGTGTCCACGCATGATGGTCGCACCGCGATTATGCTGGCCACCCTGGAGGGTGGACCCTCGACTGCAGCTTGTGGGACATGACTGACTGCAGGAAACAGTCTTGTGCTCATGGGGTCCCCTACTACCCACCTGTACTATCGGGTAACCTAGGGGGTGGTAGTATAGAGACGGGACGTAGGGGTGCCCAGGATGTGCTATTACATGTATATAGCAAGTGGAACCTATGTGTTGCGAGGACTGTTGGCAATAGGATTTTCAAGGTACGCAACCGCTGATGAAGTTGTTTTTCTGACTCTGTCACGATCCTTGACCAAGAGAATTGGACCGTCTCATGGCTAATACATGAATTCCCGATATCTGACGCACGAAACGGGCGTTGAGTGGTTCGTTCACGATGGAGCCATCGTTAGCGGAGGTATTCTCTGCATACGTACTGCATGCATACGAACCGTTTTAAAGTGGATGCGGATTCACGCCTTACTTCAGCATTCCGCACGAGACTTGTTTCATCAACGTCTGCCCTCACTACCTTTTCCGGCTGTACGCAAGTCATACTGGACTCTCTTTCTTTCAGGACTGCGTGTGGTGGAGCTGCTCGCAGATCGCAAGGCACTGCTGGGTCATATTGAGGATGTTTGCCCAGGCTTCTGCGGGCTTGGCATGCTGCTAACTTTGTATTTCACAAATCTAATTGAAATGTCCGAGAGGCATGCAGATTATATATAGACACTTCCGAAGTGTTCGAGCAGTTTCATGCTCTAGAACGGCTGGGGTCAACGTGACGTTAGCCCTATCAGTCGTCAAATCAATGTTGAAGGTGAAGATTCTCTGTCAAATGGGTCAACCTGGAGAACAGTTTGCAGCTGCTGTTTGATATACGCAGCCCTGAGTCGTTAGTCTTCCAAAGCTCAGGACCGTCTGAATGATTAATGGTTGCTTCGTAGTCAGGATGCTTTTCCAAAGTGAACACGCATTTTCAAAAAGTGCATCATCACGCACATCTTGTCAAGATCATTGCCACGTTGGCAAGCGGAGAATCTCGGATGTCCTTCAGTCCTGCATGTGCGGCAGCAAGCCTCAAACAAGCATACCTTTATCATGCTTCTACAGGAGGCAGGGGACGGAAGGAGATCTGATTCAACAATGGTTAGAGAAGCACCGTGTCCGACGCCTGTAACCCTTATTTCAATATCATGTATGACACGGCGCAGGCGCAGATGAACAAGAAGGACCAGCAAGGCTGAGCAATGGTGGTTGGGGTGGATCTTCTTAGGCTAAGAGAAAACATTGTAATTCTGAGAACTCGCTTACCGTCAGCTATGAAGTCCTTTGGGGTCATTCAGTGGCGACGTTAGCGGTGTTGAAGTTGGGGGCCTCTGATTTCAAGGTGTGTGCAGAGTTGGGTTGGCTGGGTTGGCAACCTGGGGGTGCATGCAAATACACTATACAGTGATGTTAACCTTGTAGACTTAAAGCCTATGTAGCCCCAGATGGTGTGAGGTGCAATAATTGCATCTTTCAAGCGAGACTGCCTGAGTAAAGGCTATTGCTGGAAACCCAGGCTTCTATCACGCGTACGAGCCCGATCACGAACCGCAACCTTCCAGCTATAGATATTGAAGTTGTTTTTGAGCCCAATGTTTGCCAGACTGATTCCTGTTAGCTTTTAAGAGCCGATGCCACCGTTGGAGAAGCATAGGTGTGACTCAACCAATGTCGGCACTGCCTGTCCAGAACTGATGCCGGCAAACGAGTAGGGTGACAGATGGGTGAAGGTTGGACGCCTCTTTTCCACGCTTGCGCGCAGGGCTCCATCGACTTGGCCACTTGGCTGGAGCTTGAAGTTTTGGGTTTGATGCGTGTTGAATTCAAAGCCATGCTGGGCTCAGATGTTGATGGTAGATTCAGTTGTTGCGTCTGCTAGAAGTACAGTTTTGCTCTCAGGATAGCGGTGTCATAAAAGGCAATCAGGCGTGGTTGACGGTGCTATGTTGCAGGCAGGAATCCCAGCCTGCCTAAGCGTTTTAGTTCTCCAAAATCAGGTTGCTCTCCTCATGATGCACAACCAAATGTCAAGAACAGGAACTCGCCATCGCCACACGCAACATCAGAACCCAATCCCTTGCTTCAGCAAGCCTTCTGGTTCTAACTGCCAAAGCAACATTCCACAGCCACAGGCCACCAAAACGATGCACTTGTTGGGTCCAGGTCCGCTGGCTACTAAAGCATCAGTGCGATGCGCAGGAGCGCTGTGCAGGGAGTGCTACCGACATCGAGGAGTCTGTCAAACTTTCGACTTTCACTGTCAAGACCTCCGCCGTGATATAATTGTGGATGTACATTTTTGTATTT